CCGAAATTCGGTCTTTTAAAATAATAATTTGTGGGAAAGCGTTGTGGAAGTAAATATATTAGAGGGTAATAAATGTTGTAATGTTTTCCTTGGCAGCAAGTCGAAACTGATATTAACAAAATTTCGACTTTTTAATTGAATACGAAAAATAATATAAGAAAGCTTTTTTAAACTGAGTGAAAGAATATCGAATTCTAAATCGTTGATTTTATGTAAATGTAAATGAAATTAATAAGAAAAAAAATATTCTTTAAAAAATAACAACTATGCAATAAAGGTTTTTTGTCATCTAAAATTTTATAAAAATTTCAATAAAATATTTTTAAAAATTCTTTATTAGAATATGTTGAATAAAATCTACATTGGGAGAAAAGAATTTTTAAATTATTAAACTTTAAAAGTATGAAGTTTTATTATACTTAGAGAAATGGAATGCTCTAGAAATGTAATTAGAAAATTTCATAAATAAAATGCCTTTTTACGCATGTAGTTATATAAGGGCAACATAACGATATTCAACTTAAGTATGAAGCTATTTAAAGCGAATAAAGCTATTGAACTTTTATAACCTATTCATTTAATATATAGAATGACTAAATTTGTTTTGTAAATTTATTTGAATATATTTTTTAGTACAATAATAAAAAACATAAATTTTAGCGACTAATCGTTGAAAATTTTAAGATTTTTCTTAAAATAATTTTTTATTCTTTGTGTTTTTCATATATGAATATGTAAGAAATAGAGGAACTAATTTTTGTTGGAATTCTCACTAATTCTATATGTCATATTTTTTTTTTCTTTTGGTTTTTATATATTATTATAAATATTTCGAAATTATCTATTTTTAAATTACAGATTTTGTATTTTTCTTTTTTGTTCTAAATGAATTCATAAAAAAGGTGTTAAGAGACTCATTTTGGTTTTATATATAGGTAGCGCATAATAGAAATTTAAAAAAAAAAATAATTTTTTTTTTTTGTAATTTTATAATTTTTGTTAAAACTTATAAAATGTTGTAAAATTCATTTGAAGATTTAAGAAATAAGAAATAAATCTGTCAAATGTATGTGATTATGTACACATGTCAATATTTATCAGCTTTCAATATGACGAAATTGGCAGCATTGGACTTATGATTGTGGTGTGAACTTTTAAAATTATTTATAAGTACTTAATATTAGATTTTTTAATTTTTTAAAATGAATAACATTATTATGAATAATTTAAATAGTTTTTCATTTTGTAATGATTAAAAATTTTTAAACTATCTGATTATTTTATATTAATATTTAATTTAAAAAGCCACCGACCCTGATAAACACCAGATTCATAATAACACCTTAATAATTATGTTATTCATCTTGAAACTTAAAAACCAATCAACCTTAAAATATTGATGTAATCGAAATCAATTAGATTTAATTAAAAAATTGACCAGCACTACGTTATTATTTGTTTTAAGCTTCAGATAATAATAAATTCATTTTCATATTATGACGAAATTGTAACACTATCTATCACTTGTAAAAAAAAAACCATTTACTTTTGTTAAAACTTTTTTTTTTTAATGTTGTTTTGAATTTTAAGTGTTAATTCATGAAAGAGGAAGAGAGAGGGAGAGAGAAACAGCAAAAATTTACTATAAAAAAAAGGTATGAATAAAGAAACAGCAACGGTTCAAAAATTTTCTATGTTAAAGTTTTTATGTATATGTATATAAAAATGTCAGTACAGTCTGCACTCATTTATAAGCACTAGACGTTTTATTTTCGTTACTTACATATATCTATCCCATTTTTTTAATATAAGCAAGTTCAATTTGTAAAAGCAAAAGTTGTTTCTAAACGAGCTTATTTTAGTCTAATTGGCGTTCAAATCGGGATATCTCAAAAATTTTTCTTTACAATAAAGCACTCTTTGGATTTGTTGAAATTTCATTCTTTATAAACTAGATTAAAATTTTAAATAACAAAAATATTAATATTAGTGCAAATAAAAACAGTTTTGTGTGAACTTTTTTTTATAAGTTAAATTACTCAAAAAACAACACTCTTCAATCAGTTAAATTTAAAAAAAAAAAGAATTTTGGAGCGTGCAAGCACATAGAATTCACGCATAGAATTATAAAATATTAAAAAGGGCATAATGGCATCACTGATCAAGTGAGTTAAAGTTACTTAATTTTTTCTTATTTTGGAACATTTTTAAAATATTTTACATAAATTTTTATAAAATTTTTGATTTTTTACCTTTAAGTGCATAAGTTTTTATTTTATCAAATTTCGTTTAAATGCAATTTCCGATTGAATGTCAACAAATTGTCATTTACTCTTTAATTCGATAAGTAAATATTATTTGTTTATTTTCTATAATATGTAAAATATTTGATAAATTTAATTGAGCGCGAAATGCACTATTAATTTCGAAAATACAAGTACAAATAAAAATATTTGCGAGTAATTCAATGAAAAGTTTTTCATTTGACATTTTTAAATACTTTTGTATTGAAATAACTAAAAAATAAAATTAGATCCAATAAAAATCAATGTTTGTAAAGAAGCAGTTTTTCCTTGAGATAGTGAAAATACTGCTTTTAAAATCAGTCTATAACAACGGTCGACAAACTTTTGTGGATTGTGGGCAAGCAAGTGTTATATGAGTATGAGCAGTGCTCGAAGTGAGGCGGGATGGAGTGGGATGCCATCTCAGTACTTTTAAATAATTGGAAATCCATCCCACTACTTAATAGGAGAGAAAAATGCGTTCCGGAACATGTTTTTTAAAATTTAAGAAAATTTTCTAATTAATTTTAAAAATCTTTTTAACAAAAAATTAAATATATGTAATTTTAAATAAGACCAATTTCAAATCGTAACGTATAATTTTTTTCTATTAATGAAATTTTCGTTACTACATAGTAGTCTATGCATTTCTTTGGTAACAGTTTGCACAGTTTTTGATTCAATTTTTAGTTGATTTAATGTTGAATATAAATATTCTCGTTAGTTTTCTCCAAAGTTTGGTAAATTTTGTTTAGTTATTTTTTTAAAAAACAATACTTTTTTTTTTTTTTTACCATCCCACCACTTTGCGTATCCCACTTCGACCACTGAGTATGAGTATGGGTTGCCTACAAGAAGAAATGATATTTTCAACTGATTTTGTTAATTGTTTTGCTTTGACAAATAATAAATTTGTACGGAATTCTATGTACTTATGTCTATTATCTATTATTAGGTTCTATGAAACTTTTTTGAAAAATTTTAATATTCACGCTTGCTGTCCATAGGTCACACTTTGCCGACTGCTGGTGTACGATGTTCAAATTATTTTTACATATAAACGAAAATATATCAATTAATTGCATACTTTTAGGATTATCGAAAGAAGAAAATTTAAAGAAGTGTTAATTAAATTATTGTTGAATCATAAATTCGGAAAAAACTTGTCTTAAGGGTAACATTTTATTTTAACTGCCCTTCTGTTTTTTAAAATTTAATTGTGTTATGCCGTTTTAGAAGAAGCATGTTCTTTCCTGAGCTTACGGACAAATACGCAGAGTAAAACCAATAAGAACGTTTTTCAAATTTTTTTTTTTACAAAGTGTCTTAAGGCTGTGTTTTATAACCACTGTGTTTTGTTCAAGAACAGTCTTTCCCTCAAACAAGATATAAACTGACAAAATTTCAAGTAAATTTTAAGCCAACAACAAATTTAACATAATTTAATTTAGATTAATTTTTATAATAGTTTTAAGTTTTTATTTGTATAAATATCATAATTAATTTAAATTTTTTTTTTTTTATTTTTCAGAGTATTTACTAACGAAAATTATCGTATTTGAAAAGCCTAATTTGATAAATAAGTGTAAGAAGAAAGTGTAATTTCATATGGAAGCTAATTTGTGTAAACGACTTTTAAACCACCATGCTTGGGAAAGAGAAACAACGAAATATTATAAAACACATGAATTTTTAACAACTGGACAAGACAACATTTTTAAAAAAACGAAAATAAAATTTTGTCTAACCTTTTTTCAGCCGAAAATCATAAGTCATCAATAATTGTAAATAAATGGAGTAATTCTTCTTATATTTTATTCATAAAAAATACGAATATTATTTGAAAGGAAGAAAAATTTCATTATTATTTTTCATTAATAAATCTATGTTATATGTTTATTGTACATGCTGAAAACTCAACGGTTAAAATTGAGGGTCCTAGCTTTTATTGGCTGGGCCCTCTTAATTATGACGATAACAAGTATAAAACGTCCAGTTCTATCTATACCAATGCCTTTGGTGCAAACTGTAAATTCAAATCTTACTAATGATACTTTAAAATTAATACCTGCATTAAAAGTTCCAAAATTATATAATTTATTAAAAAAATCATCTATATTCTCACAAGATTTATCATCATTATATGAAACATCATCGTCATTTACATTATCATCATATGTTAATAAAACATTATTATTACCTCCATTACAACCATCCCAAAATTTTTTATATTTATCTGGAAATAATAGTTGTAAATATTTATCAAATAATTGTAGTCATTCAAATAATTTAACTAAACAAATTATTAATATTAATGATTATGAAATGAATTCAAAAAATTTTTCATCAAAATTTGATATAATTGAAAAAAATTTAACAAATCAAAATATTAAAAATAATAATAATAATAGTAATAATAATTCAACAATATTAACTAAAAGTGATAGCAGAGAAAAACAAAATAAAAATGATGAAATGAATTCTTTAGGAATTGTTAATAAAAATAATACAAAAGTAATAATTAAAAAAATAAAATTTAGATCTAAAAAATTAATGTATAATAAGAGAAAGAGAAAAAAATTTTCAAAAAAACTTAATGATTTAAATTTAAATTTAAATAATACTAATAATAATAATCTTAATATTACTATTAATAATAATGATAATGATAATACAATTGACAATATAACAATAACAGCAACAGCAAAAGAAAATATTTTAAATGATAGTTACAATAATAATAATAATACAAATAGCAATATTGTTTTTAAAAGAAGTTATGAAATGTTAAATATTTTAACTATGTTTAATAAAACATTATTAGATTATAATAAAAATAGTAGTATTGTTTTTGATAAAACGGAAAACGTTGACTTTTTAAATAAATATTTTAATAGTAGTTCTAGAACTTTTAAAACTCCAATTGAATTCATATCAAAAAATGATTCAGATAATTTAGATTATCAATTAAATAAAATAAAAAATAATTTAAATAATAATAATCTTGAAAATGGATATTGGAAAGAACAGAATATTACCACACATAGTACTCATTTAAAAAAATCTATTAATAGTAAGAAACATAAAAGACTGAATAATCATAATAATTTAGGACGCAATGTACGATCTGCCAATTTATCGGTTAGTGGTTCAACAAAAAAGATTCAGCTATTTATTAAAAATCGTTTCATACAATTAATGCCAGATGGGATTGTCAATGGAACTCAAGATGAAACGAGTGATTTCAGTAAGTAACAAAAATGAAATTTATAATTTTTTTTTAATTAGAATCACTTAAACTTTCCCCAAAGCCAAATATTAATGTTTGAGTGAAGAATCTGAAAATATTCGATTACATTTACTCAATATTTAAGTATATTAAGGTATAACTTTTATATATATATAGTGCTAGATTTTCGATATTCTAATATAAACTTTTATAATAAGATAAATTTTAAATTAATCTATTTTATTAAGATCAAGGGTTTATGCCGATATTATTATCTGAAACAATTGTATTCTTTTTTTAATTTTAATTTTTTTGTGTTGACTATTAAAACTTATTAGTTAAATTTGCTTTACCCATGGAAGCCATTATTCATGCGATTTAAGTTTGCATTATTTAATAGGATTAAAAGTAGAAAACTAAATCAATTATTAGAATTAGAATTTGCGGTTTGAGTTCTTAATACTCAAATATATGTATGTATTTATATTTCGCAACAGCTCCAAAAAGAATTGACATAAACTGAACAAAGGCTTATCTTAGATTAGATAACTTAAGGATTTATTTTATATATAAAGTAATTGTGTTTTTATTTTATTTTTCTGAAATCTTATTTGCAAAACTTGTATTATTCCATATCACATTAATATTTTTTAAATTTCTTTATATTGTTTCTCAGATTCTTACTAATTCACTTTATGTTGGATTTGCTTGTAAAATAGATATGTTTTTAGGTGTACAAAGTTGAAAAAATAGATATACCTATGTATTTTTTCCGCGCGTATGCTTACAAAATTTTTTTCTCACCTTTAAAGATAGAAAGCTGTTTTGCTTTACAAACAAATTTTGCATAGAAATGGATCTCGCCTATTAGAAACCGATTTCTCTACAGAAGAAAGAAAGTTTTCCCTTCTCTAAACGTTGAAATTTTTTAAGTCTCGGAAATATCTTTTTTTTACACTTAATAAAATGCAAAAAAATGCAACGATTTGTTTTATTTGACGTAAAACTATATAGGACACATAACAAGGAGAAAATTACAATGAGTAGGTTGATTTTAAAATTTATAACTTTTTGACATCTAAGATTTTAACAATTTAGATTTTAAAAATTTAATTAATAATAGATTATAACAATACTTGCAATTTTCAATGGCATTTAATTTAATTTTAGGAAAACATTCTGTATGAGTCTTCATAATAGTTTGTAAAACAGTAAAATAGGCAAATGTCACACATATCTATTGAATTGTCCGAACACACCCGGTTTTTTTAATTTTTCTTCTTATCTGAAAAGCATGCAAAAAGTATTTATTCCAAGATATTGATATGTTAGTGAGAGTAATTTAAGTACTTATAGGAAGTTATTTTCAAATAAATAAGTTGGTGATTTCAACTTGTTCAAAAAGGAATTGTGCTACTCTACAAACCGATAGTTTGATTTGAATTGATTTAATTAAATATTTTTTGCTGGCGATGAAGTGATAATTTAATTTTCATTTCTCACTATTTTTACATAGATACACGAACTTTAGTAATAAATCAAAGTTAAAATATTCAAAAATAATCAATTACTTTACAAATATGCGTAGGTATTTGGGTATTTGGTAATGAAACAAGAGAATTTAAAAAATTCATTTTTTTTTGTCATAAAAACAAAATTTCTTTGAAATTTTTTTTACCAATCATTTTGCAATTAATTTAGAAATTTTGATTAAATATCATGTTTTTTATTTTGATTCACTTATGAACATTTTCTCACTTTTTTACATTTCTAAATAAATATTTACATATATACATATATGTATAGGATTCAAACCATGTACGTATTCGAAATGTACGCTGGCATGAACTTAATTCCAAATTGCTATTTCCTGAAAGGGCGACTTAAATAATTGATAGCATACCAAATTTAGTATCGATAACGAAGTATTTATTAATGTTGCGTTTCATAAATCATTTTAATAAAATAAAAAAAAATACAAAATTGCAACCATAAAAAATTTTTCCTTCGTTACAATGTAAGAAAATATTATCATCGATCGACCTATGTGTACATGCACATAAATATTAATTTTTTTTTTTTGAAGTATACATACATATTTATCTTTCTAATTTGTTGGTGATGTTACTTTAAGACATTTAATTGGCATGAATATTATTTATATGTTCACAGAGAAAAATTTAGTATGACAAAATACACAGAGAAAAAATGTATTCAAATTAATATTTTTATTATCTTAGAACATAGAATATTATTAAAAAAGTATTTTTGAAATAGAAAAGTTAATTCATTAATTTGTTAATCGTTAATGTGTTTGTAGCTTTTTGGCCAAAAATTTAAGTTAAAATGTTAGGGATTGATTTCGGTTTTCTGTTAGGATTTTACATATTTTACTAACCACCGAATTCGTTTATTAATTTTTCTTTAAGTGAATTTCAAAAAATTTGTTCATTCGAATAACTAAAATATAAGTTACATACATATAATATAACAATTTGTTAACTGTAAATTAAATCAAATTTATTTTAGAATTATCAACAAAGTTTCAGATTTTATCTATATAAGTATGTATAATACATATATATTATTATTATGTATATGTATGTTAATTTTGTAATAATAAATTTATAATTTAAATAAACTAGACGTAATTATAAATATTTTTTTAATTATTAACAGACATGAATAGTTATATAAATAATAGAACTATTTAAGAAAAATAAAATAAATAAAATAAATAAACTTGAACATTTAATATACAAATTATTAAACACAAATACACGAACAAGCACACAAATTCAATTCTGAAGCTAGTTATTGCATGCTAAATGAATCGTAATTGTTGTTATTACACAGTTATTTATTAAAATATTACAAATGATTTTGTTTCTAATTGCTAATATGTTAATAATTAATATGAAATTAAAATAGCTACATGAATTTATAATTGAGACGAAAAATATTTGTGCAGATTTGATTTTAAAGTGATATTAATGATCTTATTTTTCTTAAATTCTATATTAAGCAAATTTTTACTCAATTTTTTATTTTATTTCAATCATTTTTATATATGTTGTTCTATATGTAAAATGTTTTAATGCTAATGAATTGTTTACATACGAGACAAGCCTGACTTTCATAAGCCTGATGAAAGTCGTATACGTATATACTTATCAGTAAAGAGTGTTTGATATTAGATTTTGTCTGACGACAATTGATAAAAGTTACTCTAATGACATTTGCTGTCATATTTTTTAAAAGCAAAATGGCGAAAAATTGAAGTTTTAAAAAGCAATCAGTTGATTTTTATTTTGGTTACATTTTTGAAATGAATGCAAAGAAAAACAATTAAATTTTAAAGTTTAAGCTCCATCAAATAATTTCAGTCTGATATTTAAATCTTCATTAGAATTTGTCGTAGATTCAATCATAAATTTTGCTGTATATATAAAAAGCGCCAAAAGTTTCAGAAAAATTTGTATTAAAATAACTTTTATTAACTAAATAGTCATGTTACGTTTCAATTTCAAATTTAACTGACATATTCGTAGCTAATTATATAAGTATACTGTCTATTTATTATGTCATTTACTATTTATAATTTTATTTGCAATTACTGCACATGTAGTAACTTTGCATTATTAAACCTTAAGATTTTTTTCACTTTCTTCACTTAAAATTTAAAATTTTGAATTTGGCCTTCCATAAAATTTTGGGAGCATTTGTTTTTCGATTTTGACCATGACTGTGACTTGAGTATTTCTGACATAAGAGTGCTAAAAAATTTTGACGTTTCGATTTTGCAGTGTTAGTTAATAATGAAATTTCATTGTTTTTTTTTCAGTACGCAATAATTGTAAGGAGAACCGAATTATAAAAATACCGTCACCGTGTTTTTTATTATTTTAATAAATAAAATCTTTTATCTTTCACTAATTTTAAACTTGAAAAGGTCAAAAAGGTCTTAAAAATGATAAACATAATACTACTATGGTAAAATACTGTAGAACGCAATAATTAACCATAGGAATTGTTTTCCATACTACAGGAAAGCATTGTAAAAAGCAGTAATATGTATAAATTTTGTTTTTATTTCCTAAAACTGTTGTACTTCCTTTACCAATTCGTGCCAAATCAATTTAAATATTTCTATTATCATTTTATGTTCAAAATTTTATTGGTCTACTTAAATTCCAAGAAAGTATTTTACCAATTTAATTGAAGTACTACTGTATATGTTACGTAATAAGTTGTCATTAAAATTAAAAGTTGCTCCTAATGGTCTGTTAAAAAACAAATAAAATTTCTATACTTATTATATATTTTACATAGGTTTGTATGCGTGCATGTATTTTATTTACTTTAGAAAAATAAAAAGTTTGTTCCGTGCAGTGTTTTTTTAAGTTTTATAATAGAAACAAACATTTTTTATGGGCTCCGATTATGATTGTTTTTTCTTATTTTTTGTATTTTCAAAATAGATAAATTGAGTGAGTGGTCAAGTTAAAAAGTAAATAAATAAAAACTCATCAAACTTTCAACCGCATAATTACTACGTATTTAAAATTTTTCTTCTTAATTTTATGCAATAATGCAATAATTTCCTCTGCCCAAATCCAAGAAAATAATATTCTATTAATAAATAGATAATGTGTGAGTTCACAAACACATGGTTATCTATAATTGTGTGTATTATCTATGTATAACGGTATTTCAATAGAAATTTTAAAACTTATTATTCGGAAAGAAAAAATTTAAATATTTGATCATTAATTTTTTTGAACTTTTTCTTAAGTAGGTTAATAATTAACATTTGAAATCACTTTGTTCTTATTTATTTTATATTTTTTGTTTTGTTTTCATAAGATTTCAATTAATTGTGTTAAATATTTGCAAAGAAAATTGATGGATTACATATTTGGTGCTCATCAAGCAAAATACCAAATAAACAATTTGAGTTGCTTGTACGCAGACGTATGCACAAATGAAAAATGTCAATTGAAAAATTGATTATTCCT